ATATATATATATATATATATATATATATAATATGGTCATAAATGACAAATATATTTAGTCTAGTAGCTTTAATTCAAAAATTTGTTCTTAAACCAGTCAATGAACTTTATTATAAATTCTTAAAGAAAACACGATTATTTTTTTAGCAAGATAATATTTTAGGTTTCCCTTCCGCGTTACTTTTTTCTAAATAAGATTAAATGTCATTTTCCTTTAAATAATCTAGATTAAAGATTAAATTTTAGTATAAGAATAATCTAATGTGTAAAAACAGTCTAATAGAACATTTATTTTTTTCAGAACACCCCAAATTCCAATACTTTTCGGTAAAAGGAGATTACAAGAACAGTTACGCCTTTTCTGGTAAGAAATTTTTTTTACATATTCTTTTAAAAAAAGTATTTCCGTTTTTGTAATACACGATCGTAGTAGTAAAATAGTAAACAATATTAAACGCCATGGTAAACAATTCTTAAAACTTTCAGTTTTTAAATCTTTTAAGGAGATTTTGAGATTAACCATAATATATTGGGGTTAACTTAGAGAACTACGATTATTATAGTTAGTCTTCGAATGTTCCTGATTTTATAGGGTGAACAACCTCCATATTTTTCATTTTCATATTTGCTGTAAGCTTCTATGGATGTTAATATTTGCTTTCTGAGAATTTAAAAGATAAAAAAATAAAAACATGAAAAGATTTTTCGAGTATTTTAAACACACATCTAGCAGCATTTTTTTGTTTAAATATAATAAATAAAATGAATGCAACTTAAATTTGAACGTAAATTTTAACAGTCATACATTTTTCGTGCATGCACTGATATTATCAAATAAAATTTAGCAAATTGTTACAATATTCAGTATTTTGGGTGCATCATCCGTAAAATCCATTTTACTACAAAATCCATTTTTATCGTTAAATATTATATCGTAATTATATATGTGATATTTGTTTAATTAGAGTGATTTAATACATTTATTACTATGAAAACTACGGTATATCAGATTGTTTATTCCACAGGATGTTCCAGTAAAAACTAATTATACGGTAAGAAGTACCGCCACCCTGAGTACTGGTACTTTTTACAGTAATTTTTTACACTGCAGGCATTTAATATTTTTTTTAAAATAACTGTTAAGATACTGTACTGTTTTAAAAAACTGCATTTTTTTTTAATTTCTGAAATATTCGAAACGAACAAAAATTAGTTCTTGGGAGAGATATAGAAGTATTTCATGGCTACATTATCTATTTGATTTTATAAAAAGAACTAATTATGTTTACGAATATTAGGGTTTTTTTCCAAAGTGCTTTATAATTTTAAATAACTACTTTTTTATGTAAAAGAGAAATAAACGAAATTAGTTTAACTTTTCTATTAATTAATTAAAACTATTCTATTAATTAATGAATCATTTAGATGAACTTTTTGCGAAGTATTTAACGAAAAACTTTAATGAGAATTATTTAAATTTAATTAAATTATATTAAAAAAAAATTTTTTTCTTATTCCAAACAATTTTTGATTATAAGAGTTTGTTTGGAAAATATTTATGCAAAGCAATAAATGTCAGTCTAACTAGTATTTGAAAAACTGTTGCGGTATTTAACTTTTTTTTAAACACATTTAACAAAATTTTTTATTCTAAATATTTTTTTAAGAAATACACAAAAAAAATTTTCGAGAAAAGGTTGTACATACCTCTTAAAACTAAAAACTTGTTTTCTTTAGTGAACAAGTTAAAACAGTTTAAGAATATTATATTTCACAAAATTTAAATTTGATTATATATATTACAATGGAATTTGTACAGTGATTTAAAATGGAGAGATTTGTTGAAAAGTCATAAAAAGTCAAGCTAAGCATGCAACTCTTTTTTTTCTCGTCAATTTCTTTATGAAGATAAATTACAATTTTTAGTATAAAATTTTTCTGTACGCAATTCTTTACTCTGAAATTATCACTTAAGTACATAATTTACTGTGGTCTATAATATATATCATAAATAGTAAAATTTTATTTTATTTACTATAATGGAATATGTGCAGAAATTTAAAACGAAAATTTCTCTAAAAGCTAATCAAATTAAAGCACAATAAAATATATAATTATCTTTCTTTCAGATTTATTCATTTTATCCCAAAGATAAATTTCACTTTTTACATCAAATACCATGGAATTAAAAAGTCACCATTTAAACTGCAGGTTCAAGTTTTTCTAAAAAATAAGTCCCTAAATTATTAATTTATATATTTTTTACTCTTTTGAGAAAAATTCTCAAAAATTGAGTTTCAGAATCTATATAATTTTGAAACTAAGCATCTGAAATATATCAAAGATAAATCTGAAAAAAATTTTACGATCATACAACAATTAATCAGTTTGCTTACATATTAGTTGTGATTGCTTCACGCATTAACAAATCTTTTAGTTTTTAGCTCTTATTTTAATTGCAAATCACTCAAAGCATTTTTCAATTTTTGAAGAGTTAATTTCAAAGTTACAAAATATTAATAGAATTTTCACTTTTAGCAAAATTGATATTTCTCAAAAATGTTTTTTTTTTCTTCTCAAAACGTTGTTTTCACACCAGTCATTATTATAAACGACAAGCTATTAATTGTCCCATCTCATTAGCATGAAGATAATTAATAAAATCTCAGAGAAACTAAGTTTAGACAGAACATTTCTGAAAACGCGGAAGGTGGTAAACACTTTAAGAGCTCTATGAGACAAAATTCGCAGTCAATTTACGAGCAAACTAAATTGTGTTCACAGTACCGCTCAGTAGCTTTACGTGCAATTTAATTAAGATTACAGCTTTTCAAATGTTGGCGCCCATGGCGGTAAAACCACGGCGTTATCTTCGAAAATAAAGAATCAGAATACTGTTCGCCTTATCAGCTGTGAAATATCACGAAAATTATAATTGCGAAAAATGTTTCATTTCTCCCCCTTTTAAACCCGAATCGAAATATAGCCATTCATTTCTCGCAAACCGACAAGATCTTTTAATTTCCAATGAGCCCGGTCTCAAATTGCCCGTCTTTTGCCCGAAAATTCCAATATCTCCCGAAGGCATTTATAAACTTTAAAACTCAAGCAGGGGAGAAGGGAAATTTTCGAATCGTGTGGGGTAATGGGGTGTAGGAAGGGAATATCAAGGGTGCGGAAAGCAAGCAAAGCTAATTTATCGCTTTCAAAACTGCGCCAAAATTATTACCGCCGTGTCAATAATTCCTGTGGTTTATAGTGCCGAAGGGTTAGACTTTTAAAGAAGCTACACGAAAGTCTAGAGCATTTCAAGTCTAATTACTGATGGCGTTTGCTAATTGGGAGTCTCCCCCTAGGTCGAATATAGGGGAAGGGATAGAGGAAATATGCAAATGAGGCGGGTGGCCTTTTTCGGTGACTAATTGTTAATTAGCGTACGCCATGCCGACCGATTAATTACACGGTGATTATTTAGTTAACAAAGATCTCATCTTTCCCCCTCTCTCTCTCTTTCCTCTTTAGAAAGACAGGGTATGCAAATATCGATTGAAAAGAGTTGCTGACTTCTGTTTCTAGCGTTATCAATCTGAAATGATTGAGGACCATCTCCTAATTGAAGATGATTTATTTACCGGTCATTTTGGAAATGAAAACTATGTCACCCATAAACTCAAGACTACCCTCTCGCAAAAATTCTGTGGGATTCTACTTGTTTCACCTTATAAATCGGAACTCTCATTTATGCTTGATTCAGTTATTTTTGATATCTATTGATCATGAAACTGCGTATTTTTTGACGAAACACAAACTCTTAAATCTATAACGAAACAGCTTTTTCACTTGTATGTGTATGTCTCTGGGTCTTCTGACGTTCTTTGTGTAATTTTAAAACCGTTTAACCTGTGTAATGGGATAATACTGCGTTTACATGGAATTACATGGGATAATATAATTATATGGGATAATACTGCGTTAGCATTTTTTGACAGAGTTCAAATCCTACAGAAGACTGAAAACTCACTTCATTCACACATTATATTCATATTGTTTTCCATTATTTTTTTTATCAAGCGTGTTAATCAGTATGTAGAAGCAAGCCTAGTTTTTTTTATGAAATGTGTTTAATTAAACTATTAAAGACAGTTATTTTTTTCAATTTAATGAAACATTCATATTTGTCGTAAAACCAAGACATTTTCAGGAATTTTGAGAATATATTTTTTTACAGTGTATTCACGTATTTATCTTTGAATATACTATCCTGCCAAAACTTTGAATTGAAAATGGTATATTGTAAATATTTAATGCAAAACAGTCATACATATACTATTCAAACGCATTCATTAAAAAATAAAGAAAATGTACTATTACTAAATATGTAAATATGTGCCCACGATATTAAAATTGATTGCCAATAAAGAATTAATTAACAACAAGATAAGCAATCGACAAATTTGATTATACATTTGAACTATTACGAGTGGAATATTTATTTAAAAGGGTTATTTCATAGCTTAAAAAGAAAGAAATTAATATACGATATAATAATAAATATAAATAATACTTGATTATTATTTGATAAATTCACGGTATAAAAATTAATTGCAAAGGAATTATAGCATAGTAATACTTTAATATATTATCAAAGAGTCTCTCAATTGCATAAAAAATTATTTATTTTAAAGAATTATTTGAGAAGCATTATACTTTTGATTTTAAAATTACACTAATGAATTTATGGAATTTATGTAATTTCAAACAAAAATTCCCTTTAAAAAAATGTTTAAATTTTTTTTCTTCATAGGTGCCGGTATTCCTTGTCCACCTGCATATACGTATGCTGCTTCATCCGTAGCAAAGCCCGTCCCTAGACCATTTCTAGAATCACCTTTGCATTCATTAGTGGCATGTCGGAACCCGTATTTCACAGGTTTGGATTAAATAATTTTATATTACTGATGCATGTTTAACATTTATTTGAAGTTTCATATAAAAACGATAAAGACACAACTAAAATATTTTCTTATAAAGTGAAATTCTACTGTCACAAATACTTGGAGAGAGTTGTTATTAATTTCAATTACTTTCACTTGGAATTCGACAGAAAAAAAAGTTTTTTACCTTAGGCTAATAAAGAATATTACCTTATTTCGCAGGTTTGGTTTATATCATTATTTTATTAATGGCATGTTGGAATCCTTATTTCACAGGTTTTATAAATAATTTCTTTATTACTGATGCATGTTTAACATTTACTTGAAGTTTCTTACTAAAACGATAAAAACCAAACTAAAATATTTTCTTATAAAATGAAACTCCAGTGTCGCCAATACTTGGAGAGAGTTGTTTTTAATTTCGATTACTTACACTTGGAATTCGGCAGGAAAAAAAAGGTTTATAGTACCTTAGGTTAATAAAGAATAATACCTTATTTCACAGGTTTGGTTTATATCATTATTTTATTAATGGCACGTTGGAACCCTTATTTCACAGGTTTTATAAATAATTTCTTTATTACTGATACATGTTTAACATTCATTTAAAGTTTCATGTTAATAAAAAAATAAAAAGACAACTGAAATAATTTCTTATTAAGTGAAATTCTATTGTCACAAATACTTGGAGCAAGTTGTTATTAATTTCAGTTACTTACACTAGAAATTCGGCAGAAGAAAGGTTTAATAAAGACTAATACCATAGGTTAATAAAGATTATTACCTTATTTCACAGGTTTGGTTTATATCATTATTTTATTATGGCATGTTGGAACCCTTATTTCACAGGTTTTTTTAATAATTTCTTTATTACTGATACATGTTTAACATTTATTTAAAGTTTCATATTAATATAAAGATAAAAAGACAACTGAAATATTTTCTTATGAAGTGAAATTTTACTGTCACAAATACTAGAGAGAGTTGTTAGTAATTTCAATTGCTTACACTTGGAATTCGGCAGAAAGAAAAGGTTTAATAAAGACTAATACCTTAGGTTAATTAAGATTATAATCTTGTTTCACAGGTTTGGTTTATATCATTTCTTTATTAGTGGCATGTTGAAACCCTTATTTCACAGGTTTTTTTCATAATTTCTTTATTGCTGATGCATATTTATCATTTATTTAAAGTTTCACATTGATAAAAAGGTAAAAAGATAACTGAAATATTTTCTTATTAAGTGAAATTCTTTTGTCACAAATACTTGGTGCCCGTTGCTATTAATCTTAATTGCTCCTACTTGGAATTGGACAGAAAAAAAGGTTTAATAAAGACTAAAACCTTAAAACGTAATCTACACAAGTAATCCACCATCTAGCAAGTTAAGATTCATGGGATTACTTCTTATGATCAGCGAGTTCACTCACCGAAAAAGATCTGATATTACCATGCAGATGTTAAAGCTAACTAAAATTTTGACACTATTCTTTGTTAAATACTTATCTGTAGTATTATAACATCACATCACATTTAAGAAAACACTTCTTTTATCGTGATTTTAATTTTTTTTTTAAATGCGTCAATTTCTGTTCTATTTACACACATCAATTAAAATGTTAATTTTACTAATTAAATGTTTTTGATTATTTTTAAATTGTATTTTAAATTTAATATTAATTTTAATAAGAAAAAACTATGATTAACTAACAGATAATGCTTTAGTAAAAGAAATATTTTATAATAAAGTAAGCTTGCGTTGTAGAAATAAAATAAAGGAAGGTTTAATCCATAACATTTCCAATACAATATTTTCCACTTAAACGTTTAATCTATCCAGAATTTTTCTGCAATTTTAAAGCTTTGTTCATGATTACCATTAAATAATTAACCAAGAATCATAAAAATGCATTCGAACTATTTAAAAACCTTTTGCATCTGAAATATATTCAGGATATTTTCAAATCCAACTTCGATAAAATATGAGCGAGTGTAGTTGACATTTATAGGGACCAACCAAGGACTAAATGAAGACCAATATCATATTTCATGAGAGAGCCGCGTGTGGTGCAATGTTTTGCGTTTCCCTACATATTGGAAATCATGAATACCAATATAACCTGTAAGTAACGCCACATATTTCTGCCGCTTAGTTATTTTATTGGGTTATTTATGTGAAGAATATCACAGCAGGCAGAAACTGAATATGGAACTTAAAATAAATAATGCACGGGTCGGGAATAGAGAAAATGTTGGAAATATATTGTTGCATATTGAAAGTTTTACTTCTTTGTGTTATTTTATGGATGAAGATAAAATACCCTAAAGATTTATTACAGTTTTTAGAGTGCATGTTGGAAGCATTATTTGATTCATATTCTCATCCAGAGTTTCATACGTTTACAAATTTATTTTATAAAAACATGCTATAATTTGTTCTACAAATATGAGTTTAAAATTTTATATTTTCATAGATAGACACAATTTTATCAGGTATGCAATTTTATTCTTTGCGGATGTATAGTGATACATTTGCTAACATTTCCATAATATAAAGCGTTTGCTCTCGCTAATATATAATATTTGCTATCGCTAATTTATAACGTTTGCTATCGCTAATTTATATCGTTTGCCAATAAATTGTGAACGATAATAGCGATAGAAAACGCTATGATTAAGATAATATTAGCTAAAGATAGTAAACACCATTATTAGCAAACGATAAAACAGTTTTAGCAAACGATTATAAACTAATTAAATAAATAAAAAGCGAACCCTATTTAAAAATCAAATTTTATAAAAGAACAGCATACGGCCCGATATTTTGCGTTTCTCTACACATTTGATATCATGGATAACAATATAACCTGACAGTAACCCCATATAATTCAGCTGCTTAATTATTTTATTGGGTTATTTAAGTGAAGAATATCTCAGCATGCCGAAGAGATAGAAATAGAGAAATTTCTGGACATGTATTGTTAATTATTGAAGGTTTTATTTCTTTGTACTAATTTCTGAAGAAAAAAAATACACTAAGCATTCATTGCACTTTTGGAGCGTATGTTGTAAGTATTATTTGATCTATATTCTCATGCAGACTTTTAATCACTTACATATTTATTTTATTAGAGCGTGCTATGATTTGTTCTATAAATGAGTTTCAAAACTTATATTTTTGTGAACAGATGAATTTTTTATCAGATATCTAAATGTATTTTTTTAAACCAACAAAGGCAATAAAGAATTTTTCATTTTTTTCTATATAATTATTAGAATAAGCCAAAAAAATAAATTATCCTATTATGTGAGAGTTTAATTTTCAAAAATAAGATAAAATCTGATTTCAAGAACAAAAGTAATTTAAAGTCATAAGTTTTTTTTCTCCCATTGTAGTGAAAAAAATCAGATATAAAATATTTGTAACACTAAATTGAATACAAATATCTTATTTAACTGAATAAGATATAAATTATTTGGTTAAACAATGTCAATTATAAATTATTTGGTTTAACGCATAATCACTTAATCAGTTATAAATTCATTACTTTATTTATATCAGAATTAAATTATTTGTTTTTACTAAAGCAGTATTAAAACATTTCTTTAAATTGAACCTCAAAATAATTAATCAAAATAATTTTAATTTCTCAAAATAATTTTAGAAAAATAACTAAATCACGTTTCCCTCAAATTTGGGTTAATTCAACTCAGATATTCCAGAGATCATTTGACTGAAAAAATTTAATTTCATAACTGGTTTTATTTCACAAATATATAGCTTCAAAAAATATAAAAACTTCATGAAAACTCTGTGTATGTATTATAAAGTAAAAGGAACAAAAATAAAACTAAAAGATAATGTTAAATACTAAAAAGTTTGATCAGTAAAGAAGGAACAAGCGAAAAAATACCCTTTAAAGCAAATACAATGGAGGAGGAACAACTAGTAAATTGAGTATCAAATTTAAGATTTTCAAAGCACTCAGGCATTGTAAACTAACACCATACGCCCTTCGCTTTTTTTTACGTAATTTTTTTTCAGCTCCTCCAATAGTTTACTCTCTTAAATGCATAGGGTATTTTTTTACAACGTGATTCTCCATTATATTTTATTTTAAACATTTTTTTTTTCTTTTTTAAAGTGTCAGAGATTTGATCGAACATATTGCTATTTTCCCGTAAGAATCGAGAACATAAACTGTTTTATTTTGTTTTCTACAAAACGACTGATCATATTCGCCTCCTACACAACAAAGTGGTTGTTAAAAATTATATTTTTAAATAAAATTTAAAGATACAAAATCTTAAAAAAATGTTTTATTATTAATTAATTATGAATTTTTTTAAAATTTTTATTTCTAACACTATAGAGAGGATCAGAAGGCAAGTCGCTTTTCAAAATTCGTTATAATTTACGAATTTCAATAAATAAGACTTTTTATTATTTATCATCAGATTTATTCAAATATTAAAAAATAATAAATAATACAATATTTATATTAATTAATTATGATTTTTTCATCATTTCTAACACTATATAGAGGATCAGAAGTCGCTTTTCAAATTTCTTTATAATTTGAGAATTTCAATAAATAAGACTTTTTATTATTTGTTGCTAGATTTATTCAAATATTGAAAAATAATAAATTATATAATATTTATTAGTTTTCGTTAATTTAAATTGGTGCCGACCGCAAATGATATCAGTTTGAGCAAGATGGAAAAGGTTCGTGAAATTGTGACATTTTTTGACAAGAAAAAAATTAAGAGTGAACTAAAAGTGTGAAGTTATATATTTGGTTTAAAATAAAAACATTTGAAATTATCAGACTAAATATTTTTATTTTTTTCTCATCAAAATAAGTTAACATAAAATTATTGTTGTTATACTCACAGTCGTTAAAACAAATAGAATAAAATTTTAAAAAATAAAAATAAAATTTGAAGTACGACGCCGTGTTTTACTTCTGAACTGCAAGTATATGCTTATGCA